GCATAGAATCACAGTTGTTGAGAGCCAGAATGTAATTCATGATGTTTCTGGTCCGTTTTAGACGTTTCAAGTGTTTTGCTGCTTGAAAATACAGTATATTGTTCCGGGTTTCCACGGTAACAGGCTTTTGTTCCAGAAATATATATTTCTACAAATAGATAGATTGTTAATGCTGTAATTTACAGTCAATCCTGACAAAATCACAAACACAAAAGACATAGTTTGGCATTTTTAATACTTGGTTGCCTTCCAAGGAGAAGGCAACCCCCAAGCACTCTGAAGTCAACAGTGGATTACAATACAGACAGTATAGAATTCAGCCACATATGATTTAGCAAAATGATAACTTAAGTTACATTCCAATATCATATTCCCTCCTTTTTATCATTTTGATAAATCAAACAATCTATGTTTAAACAACAGCGACACAAAGCTGAACTTTCAAGTCGCAAATGTACCAAGATGTCACCTTCAATTCTCACATCCATTTAAATTGAACAAACGGCCAGCGCCCTCCGTGGGCCTGCGCGCTTTGATCCTTGCAAATCGGCCCGTGATTATTCGTCAGCAGCTTCCGGTGCGGGGGGGGGGGGGTGGGTTTGTGTGGAGGGTGGTTTTGTAAGGTGTCGATGGCTGTATGGAGATTGCGATGGGGGCGGGATGGAGCTTTCGGTGGACGTCTGCTCCACAAGAAATTGAATTTCATGCTGTTTCAAAGTTCTGGCAGTCATTTTTCTCAAAAACAAAAACCACATTTGTTAATACATTTCAAGATCCAAACATTAGGTGAAGGGTAATTCTAAACCAAGAAACAGTTTCAAAGTTTCACAATGACGTTTAAAACAAGTATTCTAAACCTGGTGTTAAAATTTTATATAATTCTTGCTAATTTTTTAGACTTTCTTCACACATACTCAACTCGTTCTTGTAAAATCTCTTCCCAATGTATTTTTTCCCTCTTATTCAACTTTCTCTTCCCCAGCTGAAAAACTAACTCCTCTCTCTCTCTCTCTAAATTTTGTTCTAGTTAGTGAGTTTGTTTTGTCAGTTTAATTTGAGCTTAAACAGACAAACACTTAAACACATAAAACACATGGACAAAGGAACAACACACAAGACAAAGAAAGACGAAGACAAACAAAGAAACATGGACAGAGGACAAAGGACCACATGGCCACAAAATGGCCGCCCTACACAATGCTTGCAATTTTTTTTAGGTCTTTTTACAATGTCCAATTCCATTTTAGTGTATTGAGATATCTTTAAATGTCCAATTTCAATTTAGAAGTAATGTAGAAGTTCAGTCCGAAGTAATTCAATTCTAACGCATTCATTATACAGGCGTAACTCTGCGTTACCCTTTTGAATGAAACCCTGTTCATTCGAGCTCTGTAAAAGTCCTTGACTAAAGGCATAACACCGCGTTATTCTAAATGAACGCCCCGTTCATCGAGCTCCACACTACTCTCTTGAAGTAGTCCTGGACATAATTCGTAGTGTAATAAAGTTCTAGACTAAGGCACAATTTCTGCGTTTTCCTAAATGAATGTGTTCATGTGAACTTCACGCTACTTCCTGAATTACTTTTGGACATAATTTAGAGTGTTTAGAACTTGCCTTTTGTTGCGATGTCATCAGGAAAAACTGTTGTTCGCCCGTCAACTTAGGTGCAGAAACGGTCGTGCCCCGATGCTGGAGTTCTAACTGCAGTTCCAAAATGAATCCCTCCTCACTGCTGTTCCAGAAGTCCATCCTTGGGGCCCTCTCAGCTTCTGCAGGAAAGTGTATTGGGGCCGGCTTCGAAGGACCAAAATATGTGATGAAACTACAATTGTCTGGACATCACCACTCACAGACAGGTTTACAGACTGCACCAGTCTGGGTCAGCTAGATGTAGCAGCAGAGTGACAAAGAATGGACAAAGAGCTCTGGTCTTATACCATGATCATTTGAAACACATGCAACAATATGTCCCACCTTCCTCTCCCTCAGAGAAGATGTGGCTTCCCTCTAAATAAACATGAGATCTACTGAAAACAGAGGTTTTCGGCTTCCTGCTTATTGGTGTTTCACTCATGACTGGGGGATGGGAGAATGATGCTGATGCGTCCCATCACACAAACCCAGGGCTGTCTAAACTTTGAATATATTCTAATTTACTTTAATGAAAATCCAACAACTCTACTATCATAGATGTATACATATAATATACGCAGTAAATCTACGTTGTTTTGTCACCACTTAACAACTTGTAAAATTTTATATTTAATCTCAAAATTGTATAGTTTTATATCAAAGTGTCATAACAAATAATTTCTGGTCTTAGTTCAAACATATACCTTCTCTGGTATTGTCACAGACTGAGACCATCGTCCAGTTTTCTCTTTAATTTAAAAATACTAGTTTTAAACATGGTTTATTCATGGATCCAGGTTTATATAAACGTCTGTTTGAATTAGATCTGTTCACTCCAATGTTCACGGACCTGTGTTACTGTAGATGCATCACTTCATACGGACCCGAGCCTCAGCCAAACTCTGCCAGAGGGGGAGAGAGGTCTCTCCCTCTCTGGTCTCCCACTCGCTCTGTGGTCTCCCTCTCTCTTTCTGGTCTCTCTCCCTCTCTGGTCTCATGAAAAACCGCACACGCTCACTTCTTTAAAACATTGTTTTTATTGCACAATGTTCCCAGAAAATTGGGATAAAAATATTTCAGAATTCTTCAAAGACAATCTGTACAAAGACGTAGATAAACACATGTAAAACGTATGTACAGCTGTGACGCATCAGTGACACAGGACGATTCCCACACAGAGGGGAGCGTACAGCACCATCCTCCATTAGACACATCACCAGCCAATCAGGCTTCATTCCAGCCGCGTCTGTGCTCAGGCTTCAGGGTCGGATTTGGCAAAAGTGAAATTTTAGGGTCTTTTAGAGGAACAGTGACATCACCTCAGTGTTAGCCTTATCGCAGACGACGCCAATTTGAACATAAACTGGAGACAATTTCCTTATACGGGCATTTGTTCTGAAGCCGTTAGGTTAGCACTGTAACGGGGCAGATGTGTTGCTAAGACGGTTGCCAAGGCAGGCAGTAGTTGCCCTCCGGATCAAGGCCTCTGATTGGCCGATCCTTATATGGCTCAGATCTGGATTATCCAAGACAATATCAAGATATAAACAAACAGTTACTGAGTTAAAGTTTACTTTTGCATGCAAGTCAATAGGCACCAGAGAGAGGAGCCAAATTTCCCCATGAGCACTTCCCTATAGGAGGATCTGAGAGAGCAGCTTCAGTGACAGACTAATTCACCCTCGCTGTGTGAAGGAGAGGTTCTGTAGGTCTTTCCTTCCTGCTGCTGTCAGACTGTACAATAAGAACTGCTGAGCCTGTAAATTTCATTCATCTGTAAATAAGTAAATTCATAAATCGTGTGCAATGTGCAATACTGCAACTTCAGTACAGAAGTCACAGAAGAATGAACGGTACATCTCTCAAAGCGGCTCAACAATGTCATAAGTAGTATTAGTAGTTAAGTAGTAAATAGAAATATGTTTGGTGGACAATAAAACGCAGAATGTGTCAGATCCAAAATGCCGTCCGTGACCTACTTTCACTTTTGCCAATTCAAACACAGAACGGATTCAAAACACAAAACGTAACAAAAAAACTGGACAAAATCTGTAGAAATATTATTTTTGTTGAAAAAAGCCTCGACTTCAGCAAAACTCCTGCTGTAAACGTATAAAAGTGAAAAAATACTTCAGCATTTTAGCATAATGGAAATCACCGTTTGTCCCAGAGCCTCAGGACCCACAGCCTCAGGACCCAGACCTCCAAGTCCTGGGAAAGACCAGAGAACATACACTGTGTTGTAAATAATTCCTCTTTGACAGCATCAGGTGTAGATTGGATTCTATCTTAAAAAATTGAAATTTGAACTAAAAACATGAGGAAATAAACTATGACGTAGTGGAAAGTTTTCACCTGCGACACTGGGCCCTGGTTGTGAAATCCCTTAAGTAGCAGCTACTCCCTCGGCCCTGGGTCTACAGCCTCAGCCCTGGATCTACAGCCTCAGCCCTGGATCTACAGCCTCAGTCCCGCTCCTTATGGACCAATGGCTCCTATGTGTTTGATATTATTGCATTTCCTGTGTGTGTCTGATTCTCTAATCTGTTGTTGGTGATTCTTTCCACTGTTCATTCTAATTCACTTGTTTCTCTCTGAAAAATGTGAACTCTGGTCGTAGTAAAAATAAAAGTCTTATTACATTCCTCCACATAAACGAAAACAAATAAACATTGCAGTAACATAAGTTAAATGTAAAATACTCTTGACGTTGTGTAAAAGGAAATAGTTCCACAGACATTTTCACCTTAAAACTAAAACAGTCTTTGGCTTTGGATCCAACAGTTTGTGATGAAAACGCTGAGGACTGGAGAAGCTGATCCTGTTGGTTCTGTCCCCTTTTGTCCAGCAGAGGGCGACCACCACCAGCTTCTCCAGGATTAAAATCACTTCAACTCAGGATTTGGATTTAATCTCAGTCAATTCTGACACAGCTTCATGTGTTTCATACTGAAAATCTCTGTCTGGTAAACGACTGACAGAGAGAGAGAGATATACCAGGGAGAGAGAGACCACAGAGAGAGAGCAGACAGAGAGTCTAGAGAGAGAGATCAGAGAGAGCAGAGAGAGACCGAAGAGAGACAAGAGAGACAGAGTGTTCAGAGACAGACAGGGATAGAGAAGAGATAAGGAAAAGACCGGAGAGGGAGCAGAGAGAAAGAGACCAGAGAGCGAGAGAGAGATCAGAGTTAGACCAGAGAGAGAGACTAGAGAAAGAGAGCAGAGATGTGGTCGGAAAGTTACATACCCCAATAAAAGGGGCTGATTAATTTCAACATGTTTTGAGGCTGAAGTCTGTAGGAGTCAGAAAAGCTGAGATCTGAAGTGAAAAGATTTTAAAGGTGATGTCCGTGCGTCTCCAGAGACTAGAGCAGGATCTGAGCCACGTACGGGGAGTGTGTACTGGCCACAGCTGCCAGCAGGGGCAAGTCACTGGACTCAATTCTGCAGAAAAAGACACAGGACCAGGATGAGAACCAGCGTTTAGGAAGAGACTGCAGGGTCAGTCACAGTCAAAGCACGTCTCCTAGTAACTGTGGTAACTGTGGAAACTATGGTAACGGTAGTCAAAAGTCAGATCCTAGTCTAAAGCCTAGTGTAGTCGCGCTGCGCGGAGCTTACGGTGGTGACGTCACTTGTGTGGATCACCGCAAACTGTGCAGTCGTTTGTTTTGCACGGTTCCTGTCTTTGTTTAAATCTGCACTCGTAGTTTAACGCGTCTGTTGCATTCCTCCTGCACTTGTAAATTGTTCATGTTTGGTCTCAGATATTTACCACTTATTGTTTTGCTGTTTGTGCTGAATACACTTTAATAATAGCTATGTTTCCAACCAGAACTGTGTCTTTATTCACAACATCACAGTTAAATGAGTTGAAATGATGAGGCCATAGAACTATCACATAAACCTACAGTAGAAACACATGTAATGATCTCAAACAGCTTAGTTTTCTATTGTTTTTGTTCTGAAGAGGAGAAAGTAGCATTGTAAATGGGACTAGGGATGTAAAAAACTATGAATTTTCATGACCGACCACCGAGCCTCATTAACCGGTTGAAACCGGTTAACCGCGTAGTTTAAAATAGTCCACGTTCTTTGAAATAACAGCCATTTCGAGCCGCGTACTTTTCATAAGTGCAGCTGAGCGTTCTACGGGATCAGAGCCGAGACAGCGGCGCCAAAACCCGCAACAGCTTCGGCACCTTTGCGCACAGAGAACTGCTGTTTTAATCTTCCCATTCTTCTGTGCTGCGGCTTAAAGCATTTTTAAGCAAAAGACAGCTCGTCCACATGGTCAGGGCAGCGAGTGACGAGCCGCGTCTCGCAGGTCTCCGCTAAAGTTTAAAAGTGATCAGTGTGGAGCTGATGCCAAGGACCAGCAGCACAAACATGGTCCATGTGGTTTGACTGGAGCCGTGTATTTGCAAGAATGCTTTGGGCTCCGTGACACAGAGGAGCGCGACAGACCGGTATGTGTGTGTGTACAATACATGTATGTATGTGTGTATATGTCTGTGTGTGTGTGCAATACATGTATGTATGTGTGTGTAAATATAAGCTCCAATGTAGTTCTGTCCCGCACCAGTGTGCAACTAGCAGGCGGTAACAGAGGGGAGAGATGATGCGTGTGGATGGAGGGGGGGAAAATGTGTGTGTGTGTGTGGCGCGTACGGCGTGAGAGTCGGCCCAGAGTTTACTGTTACATTGGCGCACACAGCTAGATAGGGACCCGCTCGTCACATCGTGCAAATAGGGCTTAAAATAGCGTTATGAAGAGACCTCCCCTCTCCCCCTTTTCTCTTTTTTAACCGACAGCTTTGACCGGTTAACGCTGTGACGGTCAACCACCGGTTAAACGGCCACCGATTTACATCCCTAAATGGGACCGCTTATGTGAGATTGCCATCACGTTGTTGGTTGTGGGATTACAACATTCTCTTCAAATCTCCGCAAGGGTAACGCGCAAGTGTACCACCAACTGTGGTTACGTAGGTCCAGCGCAACCGCAAACGTAACCAGCGCCGCGCGAGTGTACATAGGCCTTAAGTTTATCTCTAATTTCTCCCTCTGGTCTCTCCCTCTCACACTGGCCTCTCTCTCCCTCTCGCTCTGGTCTCTCCCTCTCTCTCTCTCTCACTAGCCTCTCTTGGTCTCTCTCTCCGGCCTCTCTCTCTCTGGTCTCTCTCTTTCTCTCTCTGGTCTCTCACCCCAAGACCATGCCCAGTTCCTTCACGTGAACTCGCGTCTGTCCTTTCAGATATTCCGCCAACATCTTGGACTTGAAGTAGATTTCCTGCAGCCGGTCCTCAAGGTGCATGATACACTGAGGAGAGAGACACGGGTTAAAGCTCAGGTCTGTAACTTTAGTCTCATAAATAACACATGTTAAAAGCTGGGGTCTGTGACTGAAACAACAAATATTTGTGGTTTTATTGATGGTGGAACAATCAAACTCCAGCTGTTCAGACGCTCCAATGATTACATGTGTCCACTAGATGTCAGTAAAGCTCGACTAAACAGTCTGACAGGAGAGCTTACGTGTCCTATGGGGCACTAGGACATATTATAAACTGTAGGGTCTCCAAGCCAGTGAGTCGGCATTGAGAGAAAATCTTTGATTTCATAAAAACATCACTGGAGATGTATGGAAACTGATGTTTGAGGATGTACTAGCACAATTTGCCAGAGACCAAAGAGAAACTCTGGTCTCTGGTCAGAGACCAGGGGTCTCTGGTCAGAGACCAGGGGGAGACCAGAGAGAGACCAAAGAGAGACCAGAGAGAGACCAGAGAGAGACCAGAGAGAGATCAGAGAGAGAGAGACCAGAGATAGAGACCAGGGCGAGACCAATGGAGACCAGAGAGAGACCAGAGGGAGGTCAGAAAGACCTGATGTCTGATGTGAAAACTTGTGATAGAAACAATCTGCTTTGGAGCCAGACATGGGTTTCATACTGAACTCAATTGTTGGTGGTGTGTAAAAAGTTACTACCCCAGCTTTTATGCAGATGTGTGGAGGACAGTGACACGTACAAAGTTGGGCGACAGGTTGAGTCGGTACAGCTGGTGCGTAGACTGCAGGAGGCTGAACACCAGCGACGACACCAGCACCTCCTTCCCCAGACGCTCCTTCTCTGTGCAGCGTCTCTGAGAGCTCGCCACCGACACGCTCCAGTGGTCTGTGTCTGCGATGATGCACACGGCCTCCGCGATCGGCTCGTCCAACACCGGGTGCTGAGGGAGGAGAGGGGTGGGGGGAGAGCGGGAGGGGGAGGTAAAGGAGAGTGAGGGGAGGTAGGGGAAAGTGGAAGGCAACAGAGGAGAAGCAGAAAAGGGAGGAAGGGGAAAGGAAGGGCACCATTCAAATTAGTCTCTGGCCTCCATCTCTCTCTCTCTGGCCTCTCTCTTTCTCTCTGGCCTCTCTCTTTCTCTCTCTCTGTGGCCTCTCTCTCTCTCTCTGACCTCTCTCTCTCTGGCCTCTCACCTGGACAGCGTGACTGAGTTCGGCGCTGAGACCCTGTCGGAGCTTGTCGTCAGTGGGAATGCCGTGCAGTACAAAGTCTGGCACATAGGTGGGGCAGTACCCTCCAAACAGAGAGCGCCCGAAGTTTGCTACAGTCGGTTTGGAGTACGTGTCCGTCAACTGTGACCTGAGGAGAAGAGGGTCAGAGCTCAAGGTATCACTCATTATTTTTTGTATTTTAAACATGAAAATAAAACTGTTTACAAGCCTAGAAGATACATGAAGAAACTGGAATGAGGGGTTAAACATGCTTTGCACCTGTAACTCCCTATCCTGCCACCAGAGGGGATTGTATAGAACCTCTGGCCTCACTCACTCTCTGGCCTCACTCCCTCTCTGGCCTCACTCCCTCTCTGGCCTCACTCCCTCTCTGGCCTCACTCCCTCTCTGGCCTCACTCCCTCTCTGGCCTCACTCCCTCTCTGGCCTCACTCCCTCTCTGGCCTCACTCCCTCTTTCTGGCCTCACTCCCTCTTTCTGGCCTCTCTTTCTGGCCTCACTCTCTCTCTCTCTCTGGTCTCTCTTTCTCTCTGGTCTCAGAGTCAGAGGGAGACTCTGGCTTCTCTCTCTCCCTCTCTTTCTAGTCTCCTTTAACAGCAGATGTTGTTAACTCTCACCTGGGGAAGGGCAGCACCTCCTCCTGCCAGTCCTCGGTCTCCTCGGTCTCGCTGTCCCCCAGAGCACTGTCTGAGCTCTCGTTCCGGGGGATGTCCCAGTCGCTCAGCGGTAAAACTTTCCTCTTTTGGTCCTCGTCTTTCGCCTCAGTATCTGGCAACCCCGGTGCTCCTATCGTCAAGCCGGGCCTCCTTCCTGTGCCAGTCCTCGGGGCCAAGCCACACCCACACCCGTCCCCTGCTGTCCTGCTCTGGTCCGAGTCCAAACCTGATCCCAAACCCTCACCAGGAGTCCCTCTGTGCTGGTCCTTGGTTCTGGCCACACCCTCCTCGCTCGTCCTGGTCTCCCGCTGGTTCTCGGAGCTGAAATACTCGGCAAAGTCGTCTGCGCTCCAAGTGGGAATCTTGCTCTGCGCCTTCTGCAGCGTGGAGCCGTTGTTGGTCTCTCTGCTTTGGTCCAAGGTCGGCAGCGGTGCCTTGTGGAGCAGCTTCTTGTGTTTCTGGATCTCCTCCTCCATGCGCCTCCCTCTGCTTTCCGTGTCCGACTCCGGAGACATGGAGTCCCCAATCAGGAAGGTGACTTTGGAGGCCAGAGGGATGGGGTCCGTGCTGGTCTTGTCCGGAGGCTTCTTCTCCACTTGAGATATCGTGGACGGACTCTCGCTGACGTCCTCCAGGTCCAACGCAGAGTCTTTGGTCTCTGAAGGCGCAGCGGACACCTCCTCTCTGTGGAGGTGGGGGGAGGTAGACCCCATGCGGAGCTCGGTCTCAGGTCTGGGTCCAGCGCAGACCGGACTGCTGGGCTGTGTGTGGAGGGTCTCGCTCGGTCTCTCGGACTCAAAGTGAGCGGTCTGAAGGACACTGCTCCTGGAGCCCTGGCTCTCGCTGCTGCTGTCGTCCTTGTCCTCATCCTCCTCTTCCTCCTCTTCCGGTGTTTCCTGGAGAAGAGAATAATAACAGTTAAAGAAAACCTTCATATCTGGGCTCTGTCTCTTCATTTTCTCCCTCTCTCTCTCACTCTTCAATCTCTCCCTCTCTCTCTAGTCTACCACACTATAACAGCTCAATGTGCTTACCTCCAGTGGGTCTCCTGCCTCCTGCTGGTCTCCTTGCTCCTGATGGTCTCCTCCCTGCAGCTGGTCCTCCCCCTCCTCCTGGTCTCCTCCCTCCTCCTCCGTGCTCCGGAGGCTTTGGTCTGAGGGGTAGCTCTGGTTCTGGGGGAGGTAGGGTTCTCCTGGTTTGTGCACGGTCACCACCACATACTCCGACTCCTCCACCTCCCCTTTTCTGAGCGCTGTGGTGATGAGTGACCCGGGCATCACAATAGCCTCGTCCTCCGCCTCTGCTCCTCCTGCTCCCGCCTCCTGCAGCTCCGAGCAGCGGATGAAGTACGTCAGGACGTACAGCAGTCTCTGCACCAACTCCTGTCTCCGACCGACCACCACCGTCCGAGAAAGACGCACAGGAGAACCAATGGCTCCATACAGGTCCCCTGAGGAGGAGAGAGAGGAGGTGAGAGGAGGAGGTGAGAGGAGTGAGAGGAGGTGAGGAGGAGGAGAGAGACACACAGGAGAACCAATGGTACCATACAGGTCCCCTGAGGAGGAGAGAACAGCGCGACACACCGAAGAGCCAATGATTTATCGAATGTGTGTGTCTCTGTGTGTCTCTCTCTGTGTGTGTGTGTCTCTGTGTTTGTGTGCGTGTGTCTCTGTGCACTTGTTTTCAACTCCTGGTGGGTTCCATAACCTGAGATTCCACTCACGTCATGGGGACTGGTTTTACGTGGTGGGGCCCGAACACCGGACCCCACTGGTCCAAGCTTAATAATCAATGGGTAATGCTTTTCTAACGGTCCTTATGCAGTCTCTGTAAAAATATGGAAAGGACCCCTGGAGGTTTACTTTCCTGAAAAAAGTGTGTTATGTGTCGGAACCCTGGTGGTGGGTTGCGGGATATCAAGGAGGGGCACACTGGGGCAATTTCAGTCCAGCAGGCTGGAGCCAATCATGGAGCAGCACAACAGAGGAAATCAGGTGTCAGGCTAGAAAAAGGTGCAAGTGTGTGGTTCATTAGGCTGCAAGAAATCATGGAGGAGCACACTGAAGCGCACGCTTACAAACCACTGGTAAGTGCTGACTACAAGTCATGACTTCAAATTGTTATATAGAATGATTACAAATTATTTGTTGTTTGTGCAGCTTAGTCAAGAGTCCCTAATTGATGAAGTCGACTCAGATTCTGACGATTTAACTGTCAAGAAGAAACCTGTAAAAAAGTATGGAAAAAGAAAAATCAAAAACACTTTTCTTCAAGACTCGGAAAGTGACGAACCAAAGGCAAATAAGATTGTTATCATGCAGCTGCAAAAGAAGAAAAATGGGGAGCGAGTTTACAGCAAGAGACACTTCTGCCTCTACTGTTCAATGTCCTGCCACAAAATGTCCCGTCATTTGACTAGAAAACATGGAAATGAAAGTGACGTAGCCAGAGCATTGGCTCTACCTGTGAAATACGTAAACTTCAGTTTGATTTGATCAGGAATAGTGGAAACAGGCCCGTCCCAAGGGGGGTGCGAGGCCCTGTGCGAACTCGAAACGCGAGGCCCTGCCCTGACACTTTTTTCCCAGATCTGAGGAAAGTTTTTCCTGTTATAATCTTTGACATGAATTCAGCACCACCTCGCGCGGTGCTTGACGAGATCAGCACGCGTGTAACCGAGTGTCTTCGCTCCTATGCAGCGTTTGGCGCGCGCACGTACACACGCACACACACTCTACGTGCAATATTGGTCGCGGTCTTTTTAGCTGACATGTCTCTTTCGTCCTGTGGCAAAATGGTAGAGCAACTCAAAAGATTGAACCAAAAGGAGTCTTTTTCTTCTAATAGTTAGATTTTGGCAAAATGCGCCAAAATGGCTATGAGGCGGAGTCAATATTATTTTTTTCTCATCAAATAACGTTTTTGCCATGCCTCCACACACTCTGACAACATACACTCCTCCTCCTCCACACTGACAACAACAAAATACTCTTCACCTCCTCCTCCACACACTCTGACCACAACAAAAACACTCCAGCTAGCTAAAGCTAGACATACAGTGTGTTTGCTAATGCTTTTAAAAATATGTTTTTGATGTGGATATTCGGACTAAACATTGGCAATAGCAGCGCTCACACACCTGTCACACCGCTGATCCTCCTCCTCCTCCTCTGCTCACACAAAGGGGTCTGCTCCTCTGCTCACACCTGTCTCACTGCTCCTCCTCCGCGAGTATCCATCTCTCCTACACTGCGATCATTCCCGTTACTTTCTTTGTATCTCACTCAGACACTGCTAAAGTTATCTGACAGTTTTTTCGGAGGACCCGTTGCATACATAGCTGTCCGCGCGCCTGCCTGTTTACAAATTGCTTTTGGTGAAAATTTGACTTTACTTGTAAAAATGTTCTTTTGATCAAACGAAATCAAAGAGGTCCAGAGAAAGGGGTTTAGGGTTCCAAATTTGGAGTGCAGTCTGCCCTTTGGGGACCCTTGAACTAGTGTATTTATAAAATAAAATAAAAGGAAGGAAGATTGCGAGGCCCCTGTGTGGTGCGAGGCCCTGTGCGACGGCACAGGTCGCACAGCCCTTAGGACGGGCCTGAGTGGAAACCGTGAGCACAATTTTGAGGTTTTAAAGGCCGGCATTGGAACTTTAGTCCCAGCTAAACAGCCAAATTGCCCAGTTAAATCCAGTGAGTTTTTGCACTGTATAGACTGTGGGGCATTGCTTAAGCGAAAGTCGCTGTGGAGGCATGTGGCCAGGTGCCGGCTTTCACAGAAAGATGCCCAGGCTAAACCAGGTAGAAGTAGGGTCCAGTCCCTCTGCTCCCTAGCCCAGCCTGTACCGGAGGGCATCAGCAAAAAGCTGTGGTCTTTAATTTCGGCAATGCATCAGGATGAGGTCACGGGTGTTGTCAAAGCAGAAAAGGGGATTCTGAGACTCGGAGAGCACATGTACTTAAAACACGGGCATGATAAGACTAAGCATGATTACATTAGGCAGAAAATGAGAGAAGTCGGTAGGTTAATTAACGAAGCAAAAACTGCAGGGAAACTGAAAACAATTAAGGATTTCTTTATTCCTTCCAACTTTAACCATGTGATTGATGCAGTCAGGTCTGTGGCTGGATATGATGAGGAAACAAATCAATACAAGACTCGATCCTTGGCCCTCAAACTCGGCCATAGCCTCAGAAAGCTAGCAGATATTCTTGAATGTGACTCAAAAATGGAGCATTGTGTTGATGAACTATTTATTAAAAGCCGGCTGCTTTTTGAGAAGAGGTGGGACGTCTGTGTTTTTTCTGCTGCCCTACAGACCCTCCGGCAAGCCAAGTGGAACACTCCGGACCTGCTCCCTCTGACTGAGGACGTTAGAGCCATGCATGCACATATTGAGGTATGTCGACCTGAATATGTGCAAACCCTAATAAGTGAGCCAACGTCTAAGCATTGGTCTAAACTGGCAGTTTTGACTCTTTGTGAGGTCATTATTTTCAATCGAAGAAGGGAAGGTTTCAAAGATGCCACTGACAGCCTTTACCTTAAGAAGTAAGACTGGGATCCATTCTGACAGTGCTCTGGGACTGTCCCAACTTGAGAAAAAGCTGTGTCAGCATTTTCAACGCATTGAAATTAAAGGGAAAAGAAGTCGGAAAGTGCCGGTTCTTTTGACTCCTGAAATGATTGCTTCGATGGAGGTGCTGGTGGAGAACAGAAGGGCCTGTTCCATCTCTGACCATAACCCATACTTCTTTTCCCGCCCGGGCGCAGACACCCACATCAGGGGATCAGACTCCCTACGCCAGGTAGCCAAAGAATGTGGTGCGGTGCATCCAGAGATGCTATCCTCAACCAAACTTAGAAAGCACATAGCTACTATGTCTACAGTTCTCAATATGAAAGAGAATGAAATGGACATACTAGCCAACTTCCTCGGCCATGACATTCGCATCCACAGGCAATATTACAGACTACCAGAGGGGACACTGGAGCTGGCCAAAATCAGCAAAGTGTTGATGGCCATGGAGCAGGGAAGAGTGACGGAATTCGAAGGAAAGAGCCTCGACCAGATACAAATTGAGCCTGAAGGTAATTCTTGATATTATTAAAATATGTATGATTTTTTTCCCCTAAAGGCCACTTGTATTTTTATTTTCTGTGCGACAGGGAGAGCAGTAGAGATCCTCTCACAAACGGACAGGCTAAAAGAAACTTCAAGCGGAGAACCTTCAACCATTCATCCAGATGCACCCCATGGTAGTGGCAGTGCCCCTTCTGGTAAGTGTACCAGGTGGGGGTCCTAACCCTGGGAGTGTATATTGCTAATATATTTTTATTTCTCTCTCTAGAACGTGTAAGAAAGCCATGGTCTGCATCTGAGGTGAAGGCTGTGGAGAAGACCATGACACCTTTCATACAGACTGGAAAGGTCCCTGGGAAGTCTCACTGCCTGGCCTGCATTAATGCCTCACCAGATGACCTTAGACATCGGACATGGAGTGGCATTAAATTCTATGTCAAAAATAGAATCACTGCAATTAAAAAAAAAAATCTAAAATAAAATTCCTTTAAAATAGTTGTTTGGTTTCTATTGACTGTTTTGTATTACTTAAAGTAGTCCCAGTAAAAAAAGATTATGTCTATGGGTCCCATTCTGAACGGCCCTGTCAAAGGGACCCACCAGGTAACAAAAACGTGTATGTGTGTGTGTGTGTGTGTGTCTGGGTGTGTGTGCGTGTGCGTGTGTGTTACCTAGCTGGGCCCACAGAGGGTTGTAGGGGTGGGTCTTGGCCAGCAGGTCCACGCTCTTAGAGGAGTGTTTCTCCAAAAAGATCTTGATTGGCGGCTGACCGTTGGGCATCACTGTGGGAACCCAGGCCAGGTGATTGGTCAGGACCGCAGTGAGGAGGGCGGGAAGGAACCTGAAACCACAGAGGTAGACCAGTGAGAGGGAGACCAGGGAGACCAGAGCGACCAGAGAGCCCAGAATGCACTGTTCACAGCATGGTTACCAAGAAAATTCCTTGGTTACCAGGGCTTCCAGCATTCTGGGCAATCACTGTCAGTTTCAACCAGGGCTCTCAAACCTGTAGCTCGGGAGCCACCATCTCTCTGGTCTCTCTCTCTCTCTCTGGTCTCTCTCTCTCTCTGGTCTCTCTCTCTCTGGTCTCTCTCTCTCTGGTCTCTCTCTCTGGTCTCTCTCTGTGTTTGTACTCACTGGTTCTTGGAGGCCTGCTCCATCAGAAGGCTCAGCTCCCTCATGAAGGTCCCACACAGCTGGTTCTTCTCGGAGGCCCCTGACATCATGGTGAGCCACACAGGCTCAGACACTCGAGGCATCGTGTACAAGTCACAAACTGTGTTCCTGAGAGAGATACAACAGAAACAGAAGTCTGTGTTTAGAACTGTGGCCTCAGACGAAGAACAGCCACAGATAATACACAGGATGTGTTCATGTTGTGGAATATTACAGTTTTTCAGCTGAAGCCAATACAGCTTCAGCTGAAGCCAATACAGCTTCAGCTGAGACCAGACAGACACCGGAGACAGGACAGAGACCAGAGAGATCAAGGAGTGAGACCAGAGATAGAAAATATAGAGGCCATAGTTGATGTATAACTTTGTGACCAGAGTTTACAGGGAAACTAAGACTAGAATCTGACTTCTGAGTCAGTCCCAAAACATTTCAAACATCCGGTTAAAGCTGGACTCAGCTGAAGATGAAGCACAGACGTTCTTTTGTGCAGAGGTCAGAGAGTTTGTGCTGTCTGCCCCGGGACAGTCCGCTGCTCCTCTGGTCCCACACGGCCCCCTCTGGTCTGATCAGGGTTTTCCAGGAGGTGGGAGTGTCTCGGCTTCAGGCCAAACAGGAGGACACAGAGCAGCGTTCTGAACCAGGGGGAGTGGGAGCTACAATTCAGCTTATGGGCTGAAAGACCAGAGGGAGACCAGAGGGAGAACAGAGAGAGACCAGAGAGAGACCAGAGAGAGACCAGAGAGAGAGACCAGAGAGATAGAGAGATACCAGAGACCCAGATTACTTTATTTATCCCACCAGGGGCAATTCATTGGAGTACCGCAAAAAAGAAAAGAAAATAACAACAAAAAAACACAGGACATAAGTGATATGACTTATTTAGAGAGACGAGAGAGAGACCCGAAAGAGACTAGAGAGAGAGACCAGAGAGAGACCAGAGAGAGACAACAGGCCAAAGAGAGGGACCAGACTCAGAAAGAGACTAGAGAAAGAGACCAGATGCTTATGACTCAGATCAAACCCATTGTGCAATAGTCTCTCTGACGGTGTTCTCACACTTTGGTCAAGGGTAGAAAAAACATAAATATTCCCAGAGATTTAGGCTCTAAACTCCTCAGTGATTAGAATATTAGTTTAATTTGGTGCACTGACAGTGTGAGTCCAGACTGGGCCCTGTATCTGAGAACATCCTCAAGATCCTTGTCCCTAAAGAGCGACGAAACACCAAATCAACTTTTTTTAACTCATAAACTGCATAAATATGTTTATTGTAGTGCTCTCTACATATCCTTGTCATTTATTTTGACATTTAAGAGCAAATTAACCTAAAAACGTCTGTGTGGCGCCCTCTGAACCTTTTTGGTGGTAATACAATTGAATGTGGTCCTGGCCTCTCCATTGACTATGTAATACTGTTCGATGTCAGTTGGTATGTGTGGCGTGCGTCTGTCTGCGCCAGTGATATAAACCCATTCAACTCTCACACACGGCCCAGTGGCAGGTTTGAGTATTCTGGCAACATCTAGTGGATTAGAATTAAAATACATGAGTTAACAACGCTGCTGAGATAAATCAGTGGCTTAGGTTCAGGTGTGTAGCTCTACAATTATCTTAGTGTGTAAACAAGGGTGGGATCAGTCTTTTTGGTGTGTAAACTATTGCTTTAAGCAGCAATGACAACTGTCTGTTTTTTTTCATGTGAGAAGTGAGCTGTCAATCACAGCCCAGACCACGCCCAACTCTAAGCCCCCCTTCTTGTCCCTTGGTCCTCCAGGCAACGCCCTTTTAAGAGGAAATTTTCAAATGTTCATGTGGGCGGAGTAAGGTTTAATCGCTCTTTAAAGGACAAACTCTGTCCTGTCTGTCAGTTATGGATCTGTCACAGAGACACACATGACCCGACATGTGTTCTATCTACATGTAACAGCACACTTAACACACACACATGACTGGCCCCTCTCCAGTTGGGAAAATCCATCACAGAACCAGAACCTCAGATGACCCGCACTATACATACAACACCAGAGAGGGACCAGAGAGAGAGAGACCAGAGAGACTAAAAGAAACTTGTTTCATTGATAAATCTTTAAATTAAACAGAAAACAAGATTCATTTTCACAAACCTATGATTATTTTACTTTTCTTCAGTCCCTGTTTTGTTTGTAAAGAACACAAACAAATAAAAACATGACAAAAGTGTTGTTGTGTGTTGAAACCTCCCACAGTGTTAGCATGTCCGCGTCCCTGTGCTTCTCTTCGCTAATAACGCACAGAAGCTTTAACACTTGCTTAGATTTATGGCCCATAACTTTCTCCCTCTCGCTAACAGACCTCTGAGTGGTGTGTGTCATTCTCGCCTGTGTCATGTGCTTTCCGTCGACCCGCTGCCCGGAGAAAACCAAGACCAGCGGCCGACACTCGAGATGCAATAGTGAATTATATGGAGGTTCCAGGGGGAGGTACCAGGGGGAGGCACCAGGGGGAGGCACCAGGGGGAGGCATGCCCCGCGACCGGGACAAACTCTAAAACAAGACCTGACCGGGGCTAAACTTACACCACCTTTGCCATTATGAGCTGTGTGTGTGTCCAGAGAGCGAGACGAGGGAGAGACCAGAGAGAGACTAAAGAGAGACAAAAGAGAGAGAGACCAGGGAGAGGAACACCGGAGAGGGAGAGACCAGAGAGACCAGAGAGAGAAACTAAAAATAGACCAGAGAGAGAACAAAGAGAGACTAAAGAGAGACCACAGAGAGACCAGGGAGAGGGACACCGGAGAGGGAGAGACCAGAGAGAGAAACTAAAGAGGGACCAGAAAGAGGGACCAGAGAGAGAGCAGAGACTAAAGAGAGACCAACTAAAAAGGGACCAGAAATAAGGACCAGAGAGAGACCAGAGAGAGACCAGAGACTAAAGAGACCAGAGAGAGACCAGGGAGATGGACACCGGAGAGGGAGAGACCAGAGAGAGAAACTAAGGAGGGAACAGAGAGAGAAAGACCATAGAATGAAACCAGAGAGAGAGAGACCAGAGAGAGAGACCAGAGAGAGAGACCAGAGAGAGAGACCAAAGAGAGAGACCAAAGAGAGAGACCAAAGAGAGAGACTAACCCCAGGACAGCACTAACATTGATATGAGGTTGAATTGAGAGAAAGTCAAATCTGAATGACACCGGCCGGAATGAGTTGTGCGTAAGTGGTTTGTAATAGTTCTGTGTGTCGTCAGTGTTTCCTTGAGAGTCACATTCAAACACATCAACACAACTCTCTGGCAGGACACACACACTGCGTTTATCACATCATTAAAACATGTGACTGCATTCAATAAGAGGATATGGAACAGTTTATATTTATATGAACTCAGCTGCTTCTCCTTCCTCATCCACCAGACTGCATTCTACCAATTAACATTTAAACATCTGGACTTTTACACACTTTTACACACACGGGGCCAGCGCTCTCTCTCGCTGGCCCCGCTCTCTCTCGCTGGCCCGTGTGTGTGTGAGGGTGTGTGTGTGTGTGTGTGTGTTACCTGAAGTCGTTGAGTCCCTCCACCATGCGGCCGTAGGCCTGAGCACGCTGAGAGGCATCTGCAGACCTCCGACTCATCTTCATGGCCTTCACAAACACAACAATCTGACATTAGAATGTACACACATAAACTGAGACACACAGACATACAGACACACAGACACAGACACGGGAGGCGAGAGAGAGACCAGAGAGAAAAACAAGAGAGAGGGACCAGAGAGAGAGACCAGAGAGAGAGACCAGAGAAACCAGAGAGAAACCAGAGAGAAACCAGAGAGAGACCAGAGAGAGACCAGAGAGAGACCAGAGAGAGACCAGATAAAGAGACCAGATATTCACACAGTTTTGGTTTTTTGACAGATTTACCCAGATATAATTTCTACCAACACAATATTTCTGGGACAGACTGGTCACCTGCTCGATTGCCGACTTCAGCTTGTTCATGTGGCTTTCGAAGAGCGGGAAATGTGAGAAGAAGAAGTCCTGGAAGCGATGGTTCTCCTCTGGGTTCTGGGACAGAGTGAAGATGACTCCGATGGCAATCTTCTTCTTCCTGGTGACGCCGAGACTGGGACCAGCGCTGTCATCGGACAAGTTGAAGCTCTCCTCCACCGACCTGGACACACGCAAGAGGGCATTCAAACACCTGGTCCGGCCTCTCTGTGGTCCGGCCTCTCTGTGGTCCGGCCTCTATCTCTCTCTGGTCTCTATCTCTCTCTGGTCTCTATCTCTCTCTGGTCTCTATCTCTCTCTGGTCTCTATCTCTCTCTGGTCTCTATCTCTCTCTGGTCTCTATCTCTCTCTGGTCTCTATCTCTCTCTGGTCTCTATCTCTCTCTGGTCTCTATCTCTCTCTGGTCTCTATCTCTCTCTGGTCTCTATCTCTCTCTGGTCTCTATCTCTCTCTGGTCTCTATCTCTCTCTGGTCTCTATCTCTCTCTGGTCTCTATCTCTGGTTCGTACCATCGTGGGAAGACTCCGTTCTCCAGACTGGTGGTCTGACTGCGCAGCCATCGTCGCTGGTAACTTGAGGCACAGCTGCTGTTGAGAGAGGACCCGGGGGAGGGGAGGGGGGTGATCCACAGACTGGAGAGGGAGGCTGAGGCAGAGATACAGGGACACAGTCAGGAGGGGGAGTAAAGCTGGGGGGCGTAAGTGTAGTCTCAGCAATCACACATGTTTGTCCAACAGAAAGAGTGAGATCTTGAGACGTCATCTTATTAGAAAGAGCCCTGTGAGTCACCATTTGACTCTTTGGACTGGGCTGAGTGACAGAACAGAGAGAGAGAGAGAGAGAGAGAGAAAGCCATGAGAGAGAGACCAGAGACTACAAAAAGATGATCTAAAGATGTGACAGAAGCCAAAACTGTGTGTAGAACTGGTTGTTTGTCTATTATAGGTTGTGTGTGTAGTACAGGTTGCTTGTGTGTGTGTGTAGTACAGGTTGTTTGTGTGTGTTGTACTCGTTGTGTGTGTAGTACTGGTTGTGTATAGTACTAGTCGTGTGAGTAGTACAGATTGTGAGTGTAGTACAAGTAATGTGTGTAGTACTGGTGTGTGTGTAGTACTAGAATGTGTGTAGTACTAAAATATGTATGTAGTACTAGAATGTGTGTGTAGTACAGGTTGTGTGTATAGTACTAGTCGTGTGTGTGTTTTGTACTGGGTGTGTTTGTACCAGAGCGTGCGATGCCGCTGTCTCTCTCGTTGTGTAGCCCTCGGTTGGGCATGTCCATGGGGTGACTGTGGCCTGAGGGGAAACCAAACACACAAAAACACAAGTTAGACACAGCTGAAAGTACAGACTTTTATGGATCAAGGACTGACTATAAATCGGTCCCGTTTTTAAACTAACGGAATGAGGAAAAAAAAGTGTTTGTTGACAAACTGAGAACAACTCTCAAAAGACACAGTTCATATCACGACTGTTACCAACGTTTTAAAAGAAACCTCACAGAACCAGGATCAAGCCCAAGAATCAAGGAACCGGATCAAGGACCAGGATCAAGGACCAGGATCAAGGACCAGGATCAAGGACCAGGATCAAGGACCAGGATCAAGGACCAGGATCAAGGACCAGGATCAAGGACCAGGATCAAGGACCAGGATCAAGGACCAGGATCAAGGACCAGGATAAAGGACCAGGATAAAGGACCAGGATAAAGGACCAGGATAAAGGACCAGGATCAAGAACCAGGATCAAGAACCAGGATCAAGAACCAGGATCAAGAACCAGGATCAAGAACCAGGATCAAGAACCAGGATCAAGAACCAGGATCAAGAACCAGGACCAAGGACCAGAACACAGAAGAAAAAGAAAAGTGCAGAAAACATGCAACATGTGAAGCAACAGCACTACAACCATCACTACTGCATGCTCCCACACCGACGGACAAGACTGAGGACTACAACCAGGAGACGGCCTCAGCCCTGGATCTACAGCCTCAGTCCTGGGTCTACAGCCACAGTCCTGGGTCTACAGCCACAGTCCTGGGTCTACAGCCACAGTCCTGGGTCTACAGCCACAGTCCTGGGTCTACAGCCACAGTCCTGGGTCTACAGCCACAGTCCTGGGTCTACAGCCTCAGTCCTGGGTCTACAGCCTCAGTCCTGGGTCTACAGCCTCAGTCCTGGGTCTACAGCCTCAGTCCTGGGTCTACAGCCTCAGTCCTGGGTCTACAGCCTCAGTCCTGGGTCTACAGCCTCAGTCCTGGGTCTACTGCCTCAGTCCTGGGTCTACAGCCTCAGTCCTGGGTCTACAGCCTCAGTCCTGGGTCTACAGCCTCAGTCCTGGGTCTCTCAGTCTTGCCCGTTCCCTGGTGTGGCTCAAACAAACGCATGCTTCTGCCGACCTGAAAAGAAAGATGCGCTCTTGATGAGGCGCAGTGGGCCCTGCTCAGAGAAGGCCCGGCGGGGACTGCAGAGTTGAGAGAATCCTGCTGCCCAAAGAGAGAGACCAGAGAGAGGGACCAGAAAGAGGGACCAGAGAGAGAGACCAGAGAGGGGCCAGAGGGAGAGAGAGAGAGACGAGAGAGAGGGGCCAGAGGGAGAGAGAGGGACCAGAGGGAGAGAGAGAGAGACCCAAGAGGGACCAGAGAGAGGGACCAGAGGGAGAAACCAGTAAGAGAGAGAGAGAGAGAGAAACACAGAACACATGGACTCTGGTTAGTGATTAAACAGACAGAACACTGGTTAAAAGGAGAAATATTACACGTTATTTTTTATATTGAGGCTTTGTCAAGTTTTATATGTGAAATAATATCTTCAGAAGAAAACTATATATATGAACTAGATTGAAGGGTTAAAAATGCTTTCCGCATGTAACTCCCTATGCTGCCACCAGAGGGAGCAGCGTCTGCAGTCAGAGCTCTCTGTAACTCCTTATGCTGCCAGCAGAAGGAGCAGCGTATCCAGTCAGAGCTTTCCAACTCCCTCTGCTGCCACTAGACCAGTGATTGCTAAGATCCGCATTTCACAAATTACCAAAACTGAGTGTCATTATACAGGGATCAAGAGTTCCAAGTTTCCGGCTCGACCGCACGGCATTGTGGGTAGTATTCTCAAAAAAGTGGGCTTAAACTCATGCTCTCCTATTAGATTACCTGTTGCGAGCGTGATCTGTCTCTCGTTTTTCCAGCCCATCGATTGTTTTAATCGCTACAAAAATCACCAATTTCAGACATTTAGAAGGTAAGGTAAAGATTTTTTCATGTAACAAAAAAGCAATGCATTTATTTTCTTGTGGTTTTAGATGTAAACACAACCGACTGACTATAGAGCTACACGCAGCTTATGCTACTTACGAGGATGGAATGCTTACACGCAAGCTTTATAAACTTGGCTTTATCTTTTATTTTTGGCTTTATCTGTCGATGAAGCCAAATCAGACAGATCAGCTGGAAAAGCTCAGTGCCTGCATAAAGGACCTTAAAATGTGGATGACTCTTAACTTCCTACTTCTCAACCCGGAGAAGACAGAAGTGATCCTACTCGGTCCGAAGCGCCTGCGTGACTCCCTCACTAACCAGATAATTACTCTCGATAATGTCAGTATTATACCCAGTAACACTGTGAGGAATCTTGGAGTCATTTTTGACCAAGAACTCTCCTTCAAGGCTTATATAAGCCAAGCAACTAAAACGGCGTACTTCCACTTACGGAACATCGCTAAAATTAGGAATTTCCTTCCTAAAAGTGACGCGGAAAAACTCATTCACGCGTTTGTCACCTCAAGGCTCGACTACTGTAACGCTTTACTGGCAGCGTGCCCTAAAGCGTCTTTAAAGAGCTTCCAGCTCGTTCAGAATACAGCAGCTAGGATCTTAACAGGTACCAAAAGGAGGGAGCACATAACTCCGGTGTTAAAATCACTCCACTGGCTCCCTGTGGAGTACAGAATAAAGTTTAAAATCCTTCTCTTAACATATAAAGCCATAAATGGCTTGGCTCCCTCTTATCTCCAAGACACGTTAGTGTCGTATCAACCAAGTCGAGCGTTGCGCTCACAAAACGCCAGACGTCTGGTGGTCCCTAAGGTCTCAAAAATCACTGTTGGTGGCAGAGCATTTAGCTACCAAGCTCCTTTACTGTGGAATCAGCTTCCCATTTATGTTAAGGAAGCAGATACGGTCTCCACATTCAAGGCCAGGCTTAAAGCACTTTACTTTAATTTAGCATATAATTAGGTAATATATAATATGTGGTGTATATATTATATATATATGCTGTATTATGTTATATATTATGTTATATATTATACAATAATGTATTGTGTTATGTTGTATATTATGTTATATATTATGCTGTATGTTATGTTGTGTATTATATATGATATATATGGTATGTATGGTATTTATGATGTATATGATATATAATATATAATTAGGTTTGTCTGGATCGGTTTGCACACCTGGTGTGCAATCCATGAATCTCTTTATTCAAGGCTAGGTTTAAAACAGTCCTCTTTAGTTTAGCATATGGCTAGGAAGGTAAGACTCAGGGAAGGCTAAACTCCTCAGACTGTCAGTCAAGCTGCATAGGGAGTCAGTTTGCTGGGAGAAGTATGGTAACTTGAGCACTATCCTCTCCTCCTTCCTACTTTATCTACTTTATCTGTTTAGCACTTTTAGGATTCTGACTGTAGTTTGTTCATTGCTATTCACCCGTTGTCCCATTGTCTGTTTCATGGTACGATGACGGGATCTCTGAGCCTGGCCTCCTCCATCTGCACCTGCGGACTGCCCCGCCCGACCCGCCTGGGAGTGCTTCGGTCCTGCACCGGACCTGTCCACGTTCGGCGGCCACTGGTCCACGTTCGGCGGCCACTGGTCCACGTTCTGTAGCTAGCTTAGGTCCTAGATCATTAGCCTGTCCGTCCGGAGGAGCGGATCCCTTTCTCATATGGGTCTCCCTCCCTGTGGGTTTCCCTAGTTCTCCCCAAGGTTTCTCACTTTTTCCCACTGGGTTTTTTAAGAGTTTTTCCTTGTCGATGCAGGAGGGTCTTGTTGGACAGTTAGTGTCCAACAGAAAGGATTGGTGATGATCAGGACAGTTTAGCATTCTACAACATGTATGGACATTTTCTTCTGTGTGTGCTTTATATTCTCCATGTGTTTTAACTGTTGATTCTCTGACCTGTGTTGGTGATTTCAATGGTTTTGTTAAGTCCTCTGAGATGACTTCTGTTGTGACCTAGGGCTATACAAGAATAAATTGTATTGTATTGTGTACTTGCCCAAAGCTGTACTTTGGACATATTTGTCTGGTGTGGAGCTTCTGAATGTAGAGAAGGCCAAATACCTGGGGCACGAAATCAGGAGTGACCTCAGTGAAGACGATGACATTCAGAGGCAGTACTGTAAGCTGTAATTGTTAACATGTTACGTTCTGTCGCGGGTTCTATTTCGTCACTACGCGGGAGCGTGAGGTGGAGAGCTCTTCCTGGTGTGGGAGATGGCGGTTGAATAAAAAATTGCTCTCTGCAACAAGAACTTTGTCTGTTGGAATTTACATGGTAGCAGAGGATGGTTTCCAACTATAGAGTACCGCCGAAGTTTGACGAAGCTCGGCCGTATGAGTGATGGAAAAATGAAGTTAGTATTTGGAGACTTGTTACGGAGCTGGACAAGACAAAACAAGCGCTGGCAGTGGCGCTTGGGCTCGAAGGGAGAGCCAGAGAAACGGCGCTGGAAATATCCGCGGTGGATTTAAACAAAGATGACGGTATGGAGACGTTACTTGCAAAACTGGATGCGGTGTTTTTGAGAGAGGAAAAGGGCAGCGCGTACGAAGCGTACTCTCATTTTGACTCGATCACTAAAGGCAGTGCTTTGTCCATGGCGGACTACATCATTGACTTTGAGCAGCGGTATAACCGCATGAAAAAGTACAACATGACCCTTCCTGACGCTGTACTGGCTTTCAAGCTCCTGGACACGGCATGTCTGGAGGAGAAAAGCAGACAGCTGGCATTGACTGCGTGTACGGAGCTGACTTTTGCATCAATGAAGTCCGCACTAAAACGCATATTCGGAGGAAAAACAGCATGTGGGACAAACGCCATAGAGGAGATTCAAGATGGTGCATTTTTCACGGAGCAACGGCCCAATGTGAAATTCAAACGTAGCAATGGCTCGTCCCAGAGCGGATATCAGCGGCAGCAGCAAGGAACGAATCCACTTGACAAGTACGGTAAGCGGACGAGATGCGCTGTGTGTCAGAGTACCTATCATTGGGCTAAAGACTGTCCTCATCGCAGAAATGACGTTAAGTTAACGGAAGATGAAAGTGTTGAAGAATGTAACATCACTCTGTTCACTAAAGCAGCTATGACAGAGTCAGAAATATTCCTAACTGAGTCTTTAGGATCTGCTATTATTGACACTGCTTGTACACGTACCGTTTGTGGTCAGAAGTGGCTGGACAGTTATGCTAAGGGTCTTAACAAACGCCAAATCAACAAACTGCTAAAAACAGAACATCCTAGCAGCCGTCCGTTCAGATTTGGAGATGGTCAAGTTGTGTACTCTAGCAGAAGAGTGAAACTTCCTGCAAAGATTGGACAGACAAAGTGCCACATTGAAACTGAAGTTGTCCCAGCTGATATTCCCCTGTTGTTGAGCAAAACGTCCCTGAAAAGAGCAGGAACTATTTTAGACATGGAGAATGACAGAGTTGTCATGTTTAAGCAGACTGTGCCTCTGGAGCTTACAAGTTCAGGACACTATTGCGTGGACATTAGAGATGAACATGCTGAAGTGAGCTGTACAGTAGGTCCCATTCCGTTTTGTCGCCTTTCACGCGTGAATCACACGAGAATCACGTGTGATTCACGCGTCTTTTATTTTCCCCCCTCCCAGTGACGTTGCAATGACCAAAACAACCACCAGGTGGCACTTGTGAGCAGGGTTACATTGGCGAGTTTCTGCCCCGCGCACATCGACAATCTGGTTTAAACGGGCAACTCCTTGTAGCAGGCCAGTCTCTGGAAAACCCGCAGACATTAAAACTACTGCATATAACGTAAACTTTTGCATCACGTTGGTGATCTTTCCAAAAAGAGAGAATATCGTTATGGAAAGAGAAACTATTGGCTCCGCTGGTGTCTCCTCCCACTCAGAAAAAAAGCAGACGCCTTTTCTCTGGCATCTCTAACATTTATAATAAATACATAAATATAACAATCATAATGAAGATGCTTTCAAATAATTTAGCAAGCTGTAATTCATTTATTTCAACTGCCAAACTTCTCTCGCTGCTCCTCTCCTCTCCTCCGCAAATCACTAAATGAGGAAAAGGGAATATTCACTCAATCTATTTAGAATGTTACACATACAATATTAATATAGTCTAAGCACGTGTACCACATGTAGCCCGTGTATTTACCACAGACTGTAAGTATTAAAGTAATGAGGCCCCTGCTTTAGGCCTCTGCTGT